ATAATAATTTTCTTACTTATCGAATTAAGATAATTAATTAAAGAAATAGTGAAATGAAAAATCAAATTAAATATTATTAATTTTATTTAAATAAATAATCGAAATAGAATAATTAAATATGAAATGAGTAATATACATAATTAAAGAAATATTTAAAGAATAAATTAAATTGAATAATAATTTTCTTACTTATCGAATTAAGATAATTAATTAAAGAAATAGTGAAATGAAAAATTGAATTAAATATTATTATTTTTATTGAAATAAATAATCGAAATAGAATAATTAAATATGAAATGAGTAATATACATAGTTAAAGAAATATTTAAAGAATAAATTAAATTGAATAATAATTTTCTTACTTATCGAATTAAGATAATTAATTAAAGAAATAGTGAAATGAAAAATTGAATTAAATATTATTATTTTTATTGAAATAAATAATCGAAATAGAATAATTAAATATGAAATGAGTAATATACGTAATTAATGAAATATTTAAAGAATAAATTAAATAGAATAATTTTTTTTACTTATCGAATTAAGATAATTAATTAAAAAAATAGTGAAATGAAAAATCGAATTAAATAGTATTATTTTTATTCAAATAAATAATCGAAATAGAATAATTAAATATGAAATGAGTAATATGCGTAATTAACGAAATAGTTAAAGAATAAATTAAATAGAATAATATTTTTTTTACTTATCGAATCAAGATAATTAATTAAAAAATAGTGAAATGAAAAATCGAATTAAATATTATTATTTTTATGGAAATAAATAATCGAAATAGAATCATTAAATATGAAATGATTAATATGCATAATTAACAAAATATTTAAATAATAAATTAAATTGAATGATAATTTTCTTACTTATCGAATTGAGATAATTAATTAAAAAATAGTAAAATGAAAAATCGAAAATAATATTGAATTAAATATTATTATTTTTATTCAAATAAATAATCGAAATAGAATAATTAAATATGAAATAAGTAATATATACATTCAGATAATTAATGAAATATAATTTTTAATGAAATATTAAATAATCAAATATGTGAGATTTTTTTTTTAACTATTTTAATATGTGATTGGATGAATCTATTTATTACTTTATTAATATGAAATCTGATTGGTTAATTTTGAAGATACGATATTTTATTTATAATCTCTTGTATATGGTTTTAACATGTATTATTTTTGTAGGATGGAATATCATATGGACAATGATTTGAGAGCTCATTTGGAAAAAGTTACGACGTATTGTAACTTTTACAGTTATGCGACCGTGATTGAGGGATTGGATGAGGAGCACATCGACATACTCCATCGGTCGTTTTTATGGTCCTTCTATCCGTTGAAGGACGTGCAGTTCTCTGGACAGATTATTGATTTGTTATTACTCCGACTGCTTAAACCAGTGGATGACGATCATTTTTTTTTTTTTTTGCTATGGGGGATGGGAAAGTATCGAGATTCTCGATCCTTGAATTTGCCCTCATTACAGGCTTGAGATGTATAGGAGAAGAAGAAGAAGAGAGAGCCCGTATTATACCAAATAAAAGGTTATTAGATTTATATTTTGGAGGTAAAGGGTCGGTTACACCACCACAGTTAGAGGACGCATTTAGGAGATGCGATCATATGTTAGACAAGCTTAAGCTAGGATTGGTGTATATACTGGAGAGTAATTGAGGTGTCAACATCGTAGGACGTCGATTGACCTTTTTTCATTGGACGTTGTTGATGATATCGATGCTCTCAATAACTTTCCATAGAGTCGAAGATGTTACTCCGATACTCTCCACGTATTCAGGAGGGTACATACTATGCCAAAATCGGAGAGGGGTGACCACAAATATGATGTACATGGCTTTTGCATGGCTTTGCAAGTAAATATTTAGCTTAACATAATACGTGTTAAACTTTTTTATCAAATGTATAAATAATATATATATATTTTTATTTTTGGTAATTGTTGCAGTTGTGGGCATATGAAGCTATCCCTGTTTTGGGTAGCAAATGGGCGATCAAAAGGGAGACTAGCTATCCACGAATGCTTCATTGGCGAGCACATGAGAAGCTATCAGCTAAAGATTTGACAGTTATTCTCGACGATCCTCAGGTGAGTATTATATATTTACAATTTATATTGTACGTATCTTAACTCGGCTCGATACATGCTCATTAACATGTTGAAATATGATATGTCAGCTCGAAGTTCATGCTGAGTTAGTTGTTTCGATGGAAGAGGATGATCAAATGTATGTACGTGAATTGCATGTTCGACCTATTGAAAACGATCCAGTGTTTGAGTCCGTTCCGGATAGAAATATGGTACGTTTATTTAAGATCATTATTTAATCTGATTTATAATATTCATGTGTGGATTATTAATATTAATTGTCTTCTCTGTGTAGGAGCGTCATCCAATAGAACGACGAGCACTTCCACGTAGGAGATCTCCTTCACCTCCACCGATGAGATCTCCGTCACCCCCACCGATGAGATCACCTCTACCGCCATTATCACATTCTCCGAGGAGATCTTCGTCTCCCGCACCCACCCACTTTCATGTGGATCACCTGCACCCAGTCAGACCCATCATTCAGATGATTTCTTTGCGCGTATAACTGGTATTATTAGAGAGAAGCTGGGAACGATGCGACGTGAATTTACGAAAGAGGTAGTAGCACTGCGAGAGGAGATAGGGGTGTTGCGATGGGATATTATGACAGAGGTAGTAGCACTGCGAGATGAGATTGGAGTGCTGCGACGAGATTTAGGAGAGCTTCATACTGAGGTTACAACACTTCGGGGCGATGTAGCAGGCTTCCGAGGTTTTGTCAGAGGGAGTGTCGGGGAGACTGGTGTTCCTCAATATTGGTGGGCAACGACCGCAGGAATTGATAAGTTTTTTGATTCGGTGCCGGAGCCCGGGAGGGAGGGGGTGGAGGTCGGGTCGGAGGTGCCGGAGGAGGCGGGGATGGCCGGGGTGGAGGTGCCGGAGGAGGTCGGGATGACAAAGGGGGTGGAGGTAGGGACAGGGATGCCGGAGGCAGAGACAGGAGTGCCGGAGGGGGTGACCGAGGAGGTAGCGGAGGGGACACCAGAGGTGGTAGTAGAGGGGGATGAGGGGGTTGCGGAGGATGAGAGGACACCAGAGATGACGGATGACGATGTAGTGTTCATGTCGGAGGGGGCGACAGAGGTGCCGAAGGGTAAGAAGCGTGCTAATGACGCGCCAGAGCTGATGGTCAGTAAGAGATCGAGATTGCTGTCACAGTACATTGTTTTCCCATATACGGCCGAGGTGAAGAGAAGGGGATTTGTGGATGGGACGTTCCCCAATCTTTTTCGCGACGTCGACCCGATCAGACAGAAGGCGTTCGATGATTGGTTCAAATCCCCTAAGTCCGAGTAAGTATTTTATGATTTTGCTACTATTTTTTTGTATTTTTCGTAACTTTTTTTCATTTTTCAGAGATAGTTATACCATCGGCTGTACGACCGTGCCCAACGCTAAAAGGTGGTTCAAAAATATACTGAGGACCTCAGCTTGGCTCGCCGATGATGTAAGTTTTTTGAGTTTTCATTTATTAAATTAATAGAAGTTCTTGATTCATTTACTTAAACGTCTCTTTCTTTTTTGTTGGTGTTTTTTTTTTGTTTCAACATATTGACTTGGCTATGGAATTGTTACGCGATCGAGCTCAGAGATGCCCGAGATCTTATGACAGTTCTAGTCGAGTTATCCTGAGCTCTAAGTTTGTTCGTATCGTAGATATTGAGTATCACGAGCTCCTAAGCAAGGGGAATGAATATGTTCTGCTCGAGTACATGGTAGAGTGGGTGATTGGGCTACAGTCGAGGTGCAGAAAGTCGTGGACGGATTGTACACATATGTCCATTCCAGTGATCGCGAACTCACACTGTTTTTCAGTGAAAATCGTATTTGCTAATTCCATTATGTATGTGTATGACTCTGATCACAGCTGTTTGACACAAAGTCAACTGGAGCAAATACTGGAGCCAATGGCTGTGATCATGCCCATGATGGCTAATCAGGCGATGATTCGAGTAAATGACAGATTAGCCATTGTGTTGAACATGACGACGGCAAAACAAGAAAGATCGTAAGGATTTAAAACTTTTTAATTTTACCTTTTAATTTTCAGTTATATGTTATCGAACTAATATATTCTTCTTCGGTTGCAAGGGCGACTGTGGCTTATTTGTAATAAAGTACATAGAGTTTTTAAGCATTGGCCGCAATATTGAGACAATAAATCAGTCTTGGATTGATATGTGGAGGCATAAATTAGCTTGCGACTTGTATGAATATAACTGCGATCCTTAGTGCATTGTATATTATTTTATTGAAATGTAAATGTTGTTTACTTCAGTATGATTCGTGTTGTAATGTAATAATTTTTTAAAATATTTAATTAAGAAAATATTATTATTTTAATTTACATTATTGTTGTATCTGTAATCTCTCCATATTTTTAGTTAATATATATCGTTGCCTCACTTGTATTAAAAGAAAATAAATAAAATAATTATTATTTTCATTTACATAAGTAATCGAAATATAGCAATCAAATATTAAATAAACAATATATACACTAAGATAATTAATGAAATATAATTTAAAAGGAATATAAATAATCAAATATACGTGTCAAATGAAGATAATTAATGAAAGAAATACTTAAACGAAAACTCGAACTAAGTGCTATTATTTTTATTCAAATAAATAATCGAAATAAGTAATTAAATATGAAATAATTAATTTTTTACTTAACCAATTAATATAATTAATTAAAAAAAACTTAACCAATTATACATTTATTATACTTAACCTATTTTTTTATTCAAATATGCTGTTAGAAAGAGTAATTAAACAATGTGATTAAAATTACATCCGATTTAAATTGAGAATAGAAAAAGCAAATTACAAATAGAGAATACATATGATTTATATAGATACTATACATCTGTCGAGTCATTGTTTAGTGGGATCTGACTTGTATAAAATCGACGTGTATGCCTTACAGCGCCGCACCTTTCGTACTTACGCGGTTGTGGAAACTCTCCTGTAGATGGTATTCTAGACGTCCGTCTACGACCAGGAGTACGCGTTCGAACTTCAGCTAGCAACAAATTATTAAATGCTACAATATAATCAGGAACTTCCCACTCGACTTCATTTGGTAGAGGAAATATAGTTTCGGCATATGCTGCTTTCCAAAAATCAGCCGTGTAATAATGACTGCATAAGCTGTGTGGTGGAAATCCTATATACATAGCCACTGCGACAGCATGCGCACATGGAAAACTCTCCAACTGAAATTGTCTACACGTGCAGGTATTGTCATTCAAGTCTACAATGTATCCAACATTACGTCCACATCTTACTGAGAAGCGAAATTGATCTAGTGGTTCCACAAATAAAGCTTTTACCACTTCCAGAGTTTTGAATAGTCGATCTTCCTGTGCCGGAGCTAACACACTTGTGCAATTCTGGGATTCCTCACGTCGGTCATAAAACCACTGTTGCAACTTACTACGAATATGCTCAATCATTGCGAGAATTGGTAACTCTCGATCCTTCTTGAATAATGCATTGAGCGATTCCGCATTATTCGACGTCATCATGTTGTATCGACGTCCTAGAAAATGTGACCGTGCCCAATGTTTGACCCCCATATTTGATAGATATTTCCATGCACTTTCTGATTTATGTTCTATTTCGCCCATGACCTTCGTAAACTCTTCAAAGCTGTAAGCTTCTGCAACTCTCCTAAACAATGCAACGATGCCACTGCCCCGGTACCTAGTCTTCAGGTTGCCCTGAATGTGGTACATGCAATAACCATGATGTGCTTCAGGAAAAACTTCAGCTATACCATTTATTTTTGGCTGTCTCCGGTCAGTCACAAATGCAAGGTTCTCGATATCCCCAATTACTTCTCTCAGTTTCGTGAAGAACCAACGCATTGCTAGATCAGTCTCTCCATCGACAATGCCAAATGCAAGAGGGTAAATTTGGATGTTGACATCTTGACACGTAGCAATAATCAACTTCCCTTCATATCTAACTTTTAGGGCCGTACCATCAACTAGAATTAGAGGTCGCATCGCATTTCGAAAACTTCTAATTCATTGTCCAATAGTCATAAAAAAATACTTGAAGTGATTCTGCTCATCGGTTTCAATAAAAAACGCCGAGTCAGAATTAGTTCTCACCATGTTGTGGCAATACCTGGCCAATTTGGCATAACTCTCCTTTGTCGAACCCATTAAATCTTCCAATGCATATTTTTTTGCCTTCCAGGCCTTCTAGTAACTCATAACTACCCCATACTCCCGACGGATGTCATTGATGATATTTGTAGGTCTGTAAATCGTCCGTGAGTCCTGACACTTGTGCATTATCTATCGACTAATAAACCATGATCGAGTTTGCCTACGATCATTTTGACGAATACCCACTTCACAAGTATGTTCTCGCGCATGCTTGCGAACTACAAAAAACTCATTTGTGTCCATTTTTGTTGTTCTCAAGTGCCAACTGCAATTGTTGTCCACACAAATAATTGTGTATGTAGACTTGTTTGATTTTTTTTACCTTAAACTCAAAATTATGTTTATTGCAATTCGGTGCACAGCTTCTTGCAAATCTCTTTTCGTGTCAAACAATTGATCGACATGTAAATCTTCATCATCAGGAACTATACGCGAACAATTAGAAGACCATGTACTCGGCCCAGCATGTGAACTCCCACCAGGCTCATGTCTCTGTCTGGATAAAGCAATGAAATCCTGATTTGTAAATGACCTTTCATCCTCGTTATCTTGAACTTCCTCGTAAATCCTTTGTGTAACGGTGACATCATGGCGAGTAGCAACTGTCCCAGGAATAACCACATCATCATCACGAGCAATCTCAACAGTATCCCAAAAATCATTCTCGTTGCGATCCTCTCCATCGAAAACTTCGTGTTCACCTTCGGGGACATTTTTCTTCAACAAAGTTAAGCAAATAGGAGTTGTCTTTCGACCTTGGTTCAATTGAATTACATGCTTTATTTGAACTTCAGAAGTAACCTTTAAAGGTGGAATTGAAATTGTTGAATTCTTTTGAAATAAAAATTCCAATTCCATATTGTTTTGAGAGGAATCGACATTAACCATGTTTTCTATTTCATTGTACATTTTTGTAAACGATGTATTTTTTGTTATCAAAATAGCAGCAACTCTTTCTCCTTCAGTCGTCCATTTCCATTCCCATTGACCATTTTGTTTCCTTTGAAATTCGCCGAAATAACAGATTGAGACATATGCTTTTGTCATACCTGCATTACGAATTAAACAATTATCAGTGACATCATAGTAATCATCAAAAATATACTCAAACTCGTTGTTCTGGAAGTGTTCTATAGTTTTTTACACTATACAACACAATTAGTAACAAAAAAAGAATCAGTAAGAAAATTTAATTCGATTATTTATTTGAATAATTTAAATTAATATTTAATTTGATTTTTCATTTCACTATTTCTTTAATTAATTATCTTAATTCGTTAAGTAAGAAAAATCATTCAATTTAATTTATTCTTTAAATATTTCGTTAATTACGTATATTATTCATTTCATATTTAATTATTCTATTTCAATTATTTATTTGAATAAAAATAATAATATTTAATTCGATTTTTCATTTCATTATTTCTTTAATTAATTATCTTAATTCGATAAGTAAAAAAAAATTATTCAATTTAATTTATTCTTTAAATATTTCGTTCATTACGTATATTATTCATTTCATATTTAATTATTCTATTTCGATTATTTATTTGAATAAAAATAATAATATTTAATTCAATTTTTCATTTCACTATTTCTTTAATTAATTATTTTAATTCGATAAGTAAGAAAATTATTATGCAATTTAATTTATTATTTCAATATTTCGTTAATTATGCATATTATTCATTTCGTATTTAATTATTCTATTTCGATTATTTATTTGAATAAAAATAATAATATTTAATTCGATTTGTAATTTAATCATTTCTTTAATTAATTATCTTAATTGGTTAAGTAAAAAAATATTATTGAATTTTTTTTAAATATTTCGTTAATTATGTATATTATTCATTTCATATTTACTTATTCTATTTCGATTATTTATTTGAATAAAAATAATAATATTTTATTCAATTTTTCATTTTACTATTTCTTTAATTAATTATCTTAATTGGTTAAGTAAGAAAATTATTATTCAATTTCATTTATTCTTTAAATATTTCATTAATTATGTATATTATTGATATCATGTTTAATTACTCTATTTTTGATTATTTATTTGAATTAAAATATATTAATATTTTCATTTAAGTATTTCTTTAATTAATTATATTAATTGTTTCCATAATTAATTTACTAAACATATATTTATTATTTATTTCGTATATTTAATTACTAAACATATATTTAAGTCAAAAATAATAAATTTTTATTTAATCTATCTCTAAATTTCGTTCATTATCTTAACATATATATTAATTATTTTATAGTTAATTACATTTTTTAACATAAAAATTAAAATTGATTCAGAAAATTAAAAAAAAAAAGAAGAAGAAAAATTCGGGTCCGGATCCGGATCACATGGTCCGTCCGCAACGGACCATGTTCTGGTCCGTTACAGACCATAGTTCGTTTCGGCGATCGGTGTCGACCTTCACTTCGGTTCTAATATTATTTTTTCTACTATTTAAAAAAATATACGACTTCAATAAAAACAAAATTAAATACTAGGAAAAAATACTTATCGAATTAAAGTGCTGAAATTTAACGAAGTATTTTTGTTGAGGTTGATAACTGATAAGTTTATGAAATTTTGAGGTTGAAGTGGATGAAAAATGAAAGACTTTTTATTGTGTTAGAGTAAACTGATTAAAAAGAGTGACTTCGTTTTCAAATTTCAATTGAGAGGTGTTTGGATTTTAATTTGTAATTTAAGGATATTTTGGTCTTTTTAACAGATTTCTATTTTGGTAATTGAATAACTCATTTAAGGATATTTTCGTCTTTTATACAAGAATAGGCATTTGTGACGAATGTCAAATTTTTTTGGTTAAAGTGAAAAATTAGTTGTTTGACATGGTTAATATTAAAAGCACCCCAATCTTTATTACTCAAATTCACTGCTACCGAAAACCCCACCACCACCGGTCTGCCGCTGCTGCTTCTGTAGAGTAAGCATGTCGAACGTGGTGGTGTTAGACAATGGAGGAGGCCTAATGAAAGCTGGAATGGGCGGAGAGCGTGACCCGTCGTGCGTAGTCCCCAACTGCACGGCCCGACCGCCGTCCTCCAAGAAATGGCTACTGGCTGACCAACTCCTCTCCCCGGCGGAGGATCTCACCTCCGCCACCCTCCGACGCCCCTTTGACCGCGGCTACCTCATCAACCCTGATCTCCAGTCAACCTTGTGGGCCCACCTATTCACTAACCTCCTTAAAATCACCCCCTCCAGTACCTCCCTTCTATTAACTGAACCCCTCTTCAATCTCCCCTCCATCCAACGCTCTATCGATGAAATCATCTTCGAGGAGTTCAATTTCAAGGCCCTTTTCGTGGCCGATTCCCCGTCTTTAGTTCATTTGTACGAAGCTTCGAGAAGGCCATATGGGTTGGTCTCAAAGGCACAATGTAGCTTGGTGGTGGACTGCGGTTTCAGTTTCACTCACACAGCTCCGGTTTTTCAGAATTTTACCCTGAATTATGGGGTGAAACGACTGGATCTTGGGGGGAAGGCACTCACAAATTATTTGAAGGAATTGGTGAGTTATAGGAGTGTGAATGTAATGGATGAGAGCTTCATTATGGATGATGTTAAAGAGAAGCTTTGCTTTGTTTCTCTTGATGTCCCTAGAGACCTCCAGATTGCTAGGTGTGTACTTAGTGTAATTGAATATCTCTTTCTTTACTGTTCTCGTTATTCTTTATCTGTTTTCGCATTTTTGTGAGTTGATTAAATGAATTTGTCTGGTGCATTGCTAGTGTTTTCGATGCCATCGGTTTGTATGTTTTAAAAAACTAATTATGTAGTTTTTGCTTTCCCAAGATTAATCTCTTTCTAGAATGTGAATGTGAATGTGAATTTTGTGTTTGATGATTGTCTTTGTAATGAACATAGTAAATTATTTTTTGTCCAGGCGATAAATATAGAGTGTTCAATATAGAGAGTTCGATGTTATATCTCGGTTTTCTATAATCTGTTCGAGGGTGTCTATTTGATGTTTAGCTCTTCTATTTTCAAAATTACACACGTCTGGTTGCACATTTGTATTGTACTTTCCTTTGTGATCTTCTCTGAACAAAATGAGTTTTTCCAAGAATCTGAAGTGGAGAACCTGGTTTGGAAGAAGTGGTTAATGCTATCATATATTGTTGACTTCATTTGACATCGTGCATCATACAATTTCTTATTAAGCTACTATTCTAGAATGACTTGTTGCACATAAAGTGATCAAAGAAATAGTTGAAGAATGACAAAAGCGTACACACACAGTAACAATTGTTTGTGTTTTACATACGGGTAATGGTGATTGAAAATACTGAACTTTGAGCCTTGTAGTTTCACTTTGATATCTTGGATTAAATGTACAGTAACAATCTTATTCTTTCATGCTTAGGCTGATGAAGGATGTATCTCAATTGTCCCGATAAGATCCTAAGTGAAATTAGTGTATCCTATTTTCCTTCATGCTTAAGGAGCTGCTATTTCTTTCTTGTGAGAGTTTCTGTTGTTTCACATACATTCGTTCATAAAATGAACTTGCAGGAAACATGGAAAGGATAATGTACTCAGATGTACTTATGTGCTTCCTGATGGTGTCACCTATACGAAGGGTTATCTAAAAGACCCAGATGAATCAAAGAGATACTTTACCTTAGATGACGAGGTCCCTTCTTCCCACAGAGGAGAAAATGATTACATGGAACGGCAGGATCCTACAGATAAAAATCAAGACAGAAGAACAGTCGACCTAACAAAAAACGTAAACTCTTCCCTATTTTCAAGTCCCTAGCTTATTAAAATTTTCCAATATTTAAATAGTTTACCTTTTGAACAGGAATTTTGTTTGACAAATGAGAGGTTCCTTGTTCCAGAGATGATATTTCGACCTGCTGATTTGGGTCTGTACAGAAGTTATATATTTCAAAATAGAGTTTCAATTTATCAAGTTATCCTGAAAGTTTCAATTTCTTATTAAGCTACTATTCTAGAATGACAGTAAATGTAAGACTGCCGTTGATTAGTTTTTGTTTTAAGTATTCTGATCACACGGTCTTACATTTACTGTCTATATTACTAAATGTAGTGGAGTTGCACTAATGCATTGATTTGTGATTATGTGCATTTATTTCTGTTCTATAGGAATGAACCAAGCAGGACTCGCAGAGTGTATTGTACGATCTGTCAATTCCTGCCATCCTCATCTTCATCCTGTGCTGTACGAGAGGTAGTGACTGGAAATTTTGGAATGTCAATCCGAGATATTCTGGTTTTGTTGTGGTTGGACCCAAATTTTATGTAGAATATGCATTCACGTGTATTTATACTTGGCAGTATTATTTTGACTGGTGGGAGCACATTATTTCCTCGATTTGCTGAAAGACTGTAACTTCTTACTCTCTATCTTTGTGCTTGAAATCTGTTTTTCATGCATTGCTTAAAATGCTTTACAACACTTCTTATGACCAGAGAGAGGGAGCTTCGACCTCTTGTTCCTGATGAGTACCAAGTGAAGATAACAACTCAAGAAGAGTAAACTTTTTTCTGAGCTCTCAACAAATGATTTTTACTCTTTTCTCCAGACTGCTAGTCAATTATGTTTCTTCTGCAGTCCAATATTAGGTGTTTGGCGTGGGGGTTCACTTTTGGCATCCAGTCCCGATTTTGAAACAATGTGTGTCACCAAGGCAGAGTACGAGGAGCTGGGGTCTGCTAGGTGTCGTTCAAGATTCTTCCACTAGCAAATAGATCATTAAGGTAATGCTATCATAGTTCCAAGAATGTTTGGTACACAGTACTGTATAAAACAAACAAGATTTTAACTTTTTTTCCTTAATCCTATATCGTAGTGTCCAGAACAACATGCCAAACGTGCCATGGAATGCATTACATATTTGTAAGGTTTGCATTCGGGCCTCGAAATTGCAAGGTTCCATAGCTTTTCAAATATATTATAATCCTTGGTTCTGGAAAAATGTCTCGATTGTCTTACAGTATCTGCTATAACTTGATATCAGAAAGATGCGGTTGAAGAAGTAACGAATTGCAGTTGGTTCTTTGTGGTTGTTAACTGACTCTGAGTCTTGTCTTTTCTGGGCAAAATTTACACTCATCTTCAGAGAGAGTGAATTGAACGGCTTGATTTTTCCATGTAAATAAATTATGATCAGCGTAAGCCTCTACAGAATTGTGTGATTACTATGTGTACATGAAAATTAAACCTGTAATCTTGTAACATGAATTTGGTTGATCCGTTTTGTTAATGAAATGTATTTTCCTCATTGAAATTCTGCGTTCCTATCGGGATTTTACTGATTGGTTGGGTAGCAATTAAAAAAATTAAGTTGTTAATGTATTTTCTTCCGACCACAGATTTATAGTCATTATAACATTATTTATTTTTAACAATATTAATCAATTCACAAGACTCGTTTAAGAGTGCACACACCCAAAAAAAAAAATAATAATAATAATAAGAATAATAAATAGAAAAAAAAAATTAAGATGATTCGAATACACAGTATTTTTCATCCCAAAACCATAAATATGAGGAAAAAATAATCAATAGAAATTCTCTTAATGTGCGCTCAACAGAAGCCATCAAAGCAAGATATTATAAGAGCCAATGAGAAAAACAAGAAAAAAATTACGAGTATTTACGGATATCTATAAACTTTCTAATATACAACACAGAGTTCACTTGTATTCCCTCTATATTTGGTATGAAAAGCATTGGAAAAACATCACCAAACGTTGTTCTAAAAACCAGCAATTCTTCCAAATAACTTTTCAGATTGGTTATGTGACTATGCATGCGGTAAAGTCAAAAGTTGTTAGACGATCCAGGTTAACCAAATCCATTCTCACAGTAACTTTCAGGTTGCTGGAACAAAATAGAGCTCGCTAAAGTTGGGGCTATATCGCTGTTCTTAGAACCCGATTTGATGGCTGGTGACAGCCAAGAAATCCAACAATACCAGCAAGCGCAGCTCAGTCTGAGTACGGCTGAGAGTCCATGCACAGATGTACTAATTTCCTTTGTTATTGTCCATAATATTCACCAACTGCAATAACATCTTCATTTTCCGGGTTCAGCCCAGGTAAGTTGAGCTTCTTATTCTTTGATGAAGAATCTGATTCTCCATCAAAATCCGGAATGGACAGAAATTCATCAAGGATTTCATGGCAAGCGAATATGAACATGGCTGCCGTGTCTGGTAGTTGTGCCTCACGAAGGGCTGCCAGTGCCTCCTGCAGTGCACCAGCTGCAACGTACAAGATCAGAGCCCTGCATTGGATCAAAGTTAAGCCCTGCATTGGATCAAAGTTAAGGATACAATAAAATGGAGAAATGTCCCTGCACAAAATAAGAAATGAAAGAGCTGTACCTCCAAATGTTATGTTCAGTGTGATGGATGTGTTCAGCCCACCTTTGCAAAACCCTGTCGATAATTCATTCAAAAGTAATAAATGTGAGGTTGCCAAATTTGAGTTTTGGATTCATTAGATATATAAATGTTGTTTTTCGACATTATTCAATGTTGTAAGATGCTCAGAAAGACATTATAGTAAAACCAAGAAATAATTTTGAAGAGCTACTTCAGCCCTTACAATCTATGCTTTCGATTCATTAATAGAAAATTCTGGTTTATATAGCGTTGTTGAAAATCCGAGTGTAGGATGGATCATTCGAAGACTAGTGTTCAATGCTTATGCTAAATAATAATATGTTCAGAAGAGCACTGGCCCTATACTAAAATCTTGCTGCACAAGATTTATTAGGCAAGTAAAAGCATCTTTTATACAATATGTATAAAATAAATAGATCATCAAAGCCTATCTACAGATCATAAATGATCAATTCACGTATTTGTAAAGTAAGATAAAACTGCAGCATCTCATGGAATGAATGTTGGCTTGGTGTAGGGGCAGATGCCTGCCCCAAGCCCACTTCGATTTTTTAGTTATTTTTTTTTTTTTTTTTATCAACCCAGCATAAATGTATTTGTCCCCCTGGCTTGTCATCGACATTTCTGACCATAGGAAAAAGGGCCTAGCAACGAGATACTGGAGGGCTACACGAACAGCACTTTCATGCAACGTATAGGACTTAAAAGCTCACAAAATGTGGCCCACGCTTTGTGAGCTTATAAGAAAGCAAATAAATTGCTTCCAAACATGCTGTATATGAGCATACTTTCAAAATAATTAACCTCTGTAACTAAAAATAAGGAAAAAGTAACTTTTTCAAACACGTTTAGGAATAACTTTTACTTAATTTTAAGCATAGACAAATATGTAAGCATGATTGGGCTAAGCTTATTAAAAGGAAAAGTCGCATTTTGTTTCCAAACACGTTTGGATAATTTACGTTTTCATACTTTTTAAGTAAAAGTAGTTTGTTGTTCTAAAAGTTTGGCTTTCACTTTACCCTCTAAATATCTTGCATATTTCCAACTTCAACCAATAAAAAAAAAATATTTATTTTAAAACTTTTATTTTTTAAGCTCAGCAAACATGCTTATCTAGGAGTTCGTTGATATGTTAGGATAATATCACCAACTTTCAGTTCATTTGGAGTTCGTTTAAGTTGGCCACCACATTATAAAGTGGAGCCATCCAGTGCAGTAGCATAGTCAAACTTTCAAAATATTGAGGGGCAATATTCTTGGCCGAGATTTGATGGGGCTAAAATATGGTAGTCAAAGGTTCATTACTTGAATGAGCAATATATGCATAACATGATTCATAAGCAAAAATAAGTCTACTCTATTCGATAATACTTCAAAATAATTTACTTCTTTCAAGTCTCGGCCAAATGCTTAGAAGTTGAATTTGGGATATGGTTTAAAACCGATATGCATGCATGGCACCACTTTGAATTTTCCAATGTTCCTTTCTGGACCCTTTGCACATAATCAAGCATTTACATCAATGAGCACCACAAGCAAATAGGCCAAAATGAAATCAAGTTTGCCTACATCGGATATCCACATTCACGCAAGTAGCATTATGCATTATACAGCTCACAAATCTACTCTGACTCTCTAATGGTGAAATTTACCCACGCATAAGTTTCACCTTTGAAATTGTCAGGATTCCAGGGAAAAGAGACGAGCAAAATAAAACAGAAGATCACTCCCCTGCTTCTCTTCTTATAATTTATACTCATACTTTCTTCATGTTGTGCTCAGGTGACCAGTCACAGGAAACAGCAGGTAAATCAACGGTGCAAGAATTAAAAAGAAAAAGAAAGAAAAACAACATCGTGCGAGATAATAATAGCCAAAAACGCATACCTTAAATGAAACTTCTTCCTGGCTGCTTGCAGGACTTGAGCGGTGATTCTTATTGCTATATGTCTTGTCTGATTGGGTTACTGCATCCAGTATAGGATCATCAGTAGACATAACTTCCTTCGAAGATTCAGATTCTGGCATGGGAACTTTACCAACTTCAGTAACTTTATCTTTTCGGGCTATATCCTTCTGAGCATTTCCATATCCTTCAGCAGTCAGGAGCCATTTCCATATTTTTCCATCATCGAAAATGTATATTAAATGTGTCTTAGAAATGATAAGAGATTCTTCGTGAAAATCAAAAGGATTATCGAAGTCCACATCGATTGAAGAAGCATCAGAACAATGCTTGTGAATACTTTGGAGCGTGGAATCTGATTGGGAGATTGTGACTGCAAGAACTGAGGGAGAAGGGACAGATGTACCAATAGAGGGTATCAATTCTTCCATCAAGCACATCATGTGCGCCTGCTCTCCTCTGTGGTACATGAAAAGAATGTATCATCTCTGAATTCCAGCAAAGAGAATGCTACAGAAAGATTTTTACAATCATGCCAACAAAACTCAATTTATGAGAGCTATGACATTACATCTTACTATTTATAGCTTATTGTTTGAAAAATATAGTCTAAACCAAACATACTAGAAGTCTTTTATTTTACTTGTATACTGAAATGATCGAAGTATCAGATATTGTCCCGTCAGAAATAAAAAAATGAAAAATACAGCAGCTTCCTAATCCATCACCATAAATATAAATAAATAAATCCTATATTTGGGGAAGGCCATATTCTTCTAATATTTTCAATAGTGTCGCATAACATTGAAAAATTTAATAGATTCGAGGCCTAACTTTTGCACAAAAGAACCTTTCTAGTTAACTAAAAGCTTACAGAAAGATTTCATTCTTGATATGATCCTTAACCAGCAATCCACTTGTTCTTCAGAAAACTTCAGGCTTTAAAGCACAGCCTTCAAGAAGGGCATCATACTTCCTCTGTCTATAGATAAAACGGCATATCCATGTCATAATAATCCTTTTCTTATTTTCTAGGTTCAGACGTTAATATGAATGTTGACATTAAAGTCCACCATCAAACAATTCTACTGGAGAGCTCTCGCATCAGATTATAACTTTTTTATCAATTTCAACTAGTTACTCCTAAAATTACAAATCCCCAAGGACCAAAGAACAAGAATAATGCATTTTTCAAACAAGAGCAATTAAAATTCTTCAACATTAGAATCAATTAAATTGTGTAAAATAAAGCCATGACGAATTAATGCAGCTCACTGGATTCAAGTACTTACTCTTTCCTCCGCCAAGTACTGAGCTTCCCGTCCAAATGAGCACAGTATAAAACCTCAACCTCAGTATTTGCATCTGGTAAAACCTCAAAAAATTTGCCACACCCTCTTGGCAACCCTGATTGATACTGCAAGTCAAACACCACCAGCTCCCTCGGAAAACCCACTAATATCACATGCTTCCAGTGCGGCGAAAATGCGAATTTCACCACATAGTTGTGGAATACAGAAAGAGCTGGTGCCCAATTATTAGTGCTACTACCACTTGATTCCCTTTCCAGTCTCTGCAATTCGGCTGTATCAGCACGAATTTGCACCTCCTGCAAAATGACATCATTCTCAGAGTCCCCAAGTAATTTCACCGATAGCAAAAAGCCCTTGAGGCCCAACGCGCAGAAATGACGGGCATCAAATGGGTCCCGACGGAGACATGAAAAATATTCCGGTGAAGAGTCGTATTTGAAGAAGCAGCGTCCCGTGGCAATATTGTAAAGAGAGAGCAACAAGGATCCTGAAAGAACAGCGAGAGCCCAGGAGTCGGGTTGATAAGCTGGGATCTAGAGAGTTACAGAGAAAGAAATGAAGAATGGCGGGAAAATTTGTTACTAATCATTCACCCCAATAGTATGATACAGGTAGGTATTTATACACAAGAAGAGATATACAAAAAGACATAAATA